CCCTCAGCTCTTCAGCTCAAGGCTAGCGCTCTACCACTTGAGCCACAGCGCCACTTCCAGCTTTTTCTGCTTATGTGCTGCTGAGGAATTGAACCCAGGGCCTCATGCATGTGAGGCAAGCACTCTACCTTCCTAACCCCAATGTGACAAAACTTACTAACCCTTAGCTATGCAATTGTTAGCCAATCGTGTAACTGCTAAGTTGGAAACCCCCTTCCTCCTGCTCTAATAGTGATAAAAACCCTGCCACCCTGGAAGGCGGGGCTCTCAATCGTGACCCGCTGCATAAGTGACAGTTGGGAGTCGACTCTTGTGTGCTTGCATCAGAATTGGCTCCTTGGAGGTCTTTGGGGGTCCCTATCTGGGCACAACACCACTTGAGCCACAACGCCACTACATAACTTTTAACATCCATCAAAAATTAGCCAGGCACTAGTGAGAGAGGCTGGAATGTAAAAATCATAGTTCAAAACCAGACATGACTTTAAGGGAGAGTGTGTTAAGAGTGTGTGAGGGGCGGGGAATTGTGTTTTACATTTCATTTAGATCCTTTGAATTATTTACCAGGTATTTAACTTTTCTAAATCAAGAGAAAGCCATAATACAGATTGACTAACCCTTACCCAAGACATTTATGAACTCAGAGAGTTTGGATTTTGGATCCCTGCCACAGAGTTTAGAATATTTACCTTGAAGATGGCACCTCAAACAAAGCATGAAGTGTGTGTGAATCTTTTCTGTGTACCTTATACGCATCATCTAAAGCGGTTTTGAGTAATAGTGTCAGTGCACCTGTATTCCCACCATAGCTCATCACTAGCTGGAATTCCTCACCTGTGTTGGTCAATACCCACAAAGTTTGAGATTTGGGAGCATTTCACTTTTATTTTTTGGTCGGTCATGGGGCTTGAACACTCTGGGCCTGGGTGCTGTCCCTCAGCTCCTCAACTCAAGGCGAGTGCTCTACCCACTTGAGCCACAGCGCCACTTCTGGTTTTCTGGTGGTTAATTGGAGATAAGAGTCTCACAGACTGTCCTGCCAGGGCTGGCTTTGAACCGTGATCCTCAGATCTCCGCCTCCTGAGTAGCTAGGATGACAGCTGTGAGCCCCAGGCACCTGGTTTGTATTTCATGTTGTTGAGGTTTAGAATTGGGATGCTCAACCTCTTCCCACAGCAATGGCTGCTATGTATGATGGAGACCATCGATTCCTTTGGGCGGGCTGTACACAGGGCCCTAGCCACGGGTGCTGCTGGGCTTCGCCGCCACCCTGGGCGTCAAGTCAAAGCTACCTTTATCTTCCTCCACAGGGAGGTTCCTCAGGGAAGGGGACCATACTGAATCAGCACTCAGACGTGGACATGGTTCTGTTCCTAAGCTGCTTTTCCAGTTTCAAGGATCAGGCACAGCACCGAAAAGACATCATCGACTTCATTAAGGAGAAACTGGAGCGCTGCGGACAAAGCCTGGCCTACAACATCAGTGTGGTCCAACACCGAGAGGGGAAAAGGACCCCGCGCTCCCTGACCTTAATGGTCCAGCCCAAGGAGAGCAGTGACATCGTGCGGGTGGATGTGCTCCCGGCCTTTGATGCCCTGGGTAAAGATGGCGCTGGGTTAGGCCCAGAGAAACAAGTTGGGGGAAGAAGGAAGAGAGGGTGGGAGAGAAGGGCAAGAGGGAGGGAGGTAGATGGAAAGGAAAGGACAAGGCCAGGCGCTGGTGGCTCACACCTGTCATCCTAGCTACTCAGGAGGCTGAGATTGAGGATCACAGTTCAAAGCCAGCCAGGGCAGGAAAGTCTGTGACTCTTATCTCCAAATAACCCACAAGAAAAACGGAAGTGGCACTGTAGCTCAAAGCCATAGAATGCTAGCCTTGAGCAAAAGATCTCAAAAGTTCCAGCCCAAGGAAGGAAGGAAGGAAGGGAGGGAGGGAGACAGGGAGGGAGGGAGGGAGGGAGGGAGGGTAAGAGGAAGGGAGGGAGTTCCTGGAGAGAGTGTTGCAAGAAACAATTGATGCATATGTTATAATATGCTAGATGATATGCATATCTTCCTGTCTTCCTCTCAGGATCCTTTAACCCAAACTCTAAACCAGCACCAGAAATCTATGAGAATTTAATAACCAGCGAGGGTCACCCTGGCGAGTTCTCATCAAGCTTCACAGAGCTACAGAGACACTTCGTGAAAAGCCGTCCAGTTAAACTGAAGAATCTTCTTCTGCTGGTGAAGCACTGGTACCTGCAGGTAAGAAGGTGCTGGGCCAAGGGAGGGGGATGCAGGGACAAGTCGTGACTCGGTGGTAGAGCAGCAGCCTTGAGTGGAAAAGCTAAGGGACAGCACCCAGGCTCCAAGTTCAAGCCCTACTAGTGGCACAAAAAATTAATTAATTTTTAAAAAAAGATAGCAAGCTAGACGCTGGCAGCTCACACCTGTAATCCGAGCTGCTCAGGAGGCTGAGGTTTGAGGATTGTGGTTGGAAGCCAGCCTGTGCAAAAAAGTCCCTGTGAGACTCTTCTCCTCAATTAACCCACTCAAAAACCAGAAGTGGTACTTGACTTCATAGGTAGAGTGCTAGCCTTGAGCACAGAGAGGCTCAGGGACAGTGCCCAGGCCCTGAATTCAAGCCCCACAATGGAAAAAAGAAAAAGAAAAAAAGAAGAAAAAAATGATAGCAGATTAAAAAACTTAAAAAACAACAACACAACAAGGACTGGGAAGGTGGCTCAGTGGTAGAGCCCTTGCCTTGCATGCATGAGGCCCTGGGTTCCAGTCCTCCACCACATAAGCAGAAAAAAGCTGGAAGTGGTACTGTGGCTCAAGTGGTAGAGCGCTAGCCTTGAGCTGAAGAGCTGAGGGACAGTGCCCAGGCCCAGAGTTCAGGCCCTAAGACTGACAAATATAGATAGATAGATAGATAGATAGATAGATAGATAGATAGATAGATAGATAGATAGATAGATAGATAGATTTAGCTCAGTGGAAAAGCACTTGCCTGGCAAGTGCAAAGCCCTGTGTTCAGTCCTCAGCTCTGCAAAAAAAAAAATTAAAATACTATTATCAGTCCAGATACTTCAGCCACTTGTAGCTCATTATTTATCTTGACATATAACTTAGGTTCAACAAGTTAGAGAATGCTAGGTGCTGGTGGCTCACATCTGTAATCCTCAGGAGACTGAGAGCTGAGGATCACAGTTGGAAGTCATCTGGAACAGGAAAGTCTTGAGACTCTTAGCTCCAATTAACTACCAAAAGAAAAAAGAAATGGAGCTATGGCTCAAGTGGTAGAGTACCAGCTTTAAGCAAAAACAACCAAGGAACAACGCCCAGGCCCTGAGTTCAAGTCCTAGTACCTGGGAGGGAGGTAAGGGGGAAGGGTATGAAGAAGGGATTCTATTTAAGATTGTGAAATGTTTTGAAAATTTTTAGAAGGAGTTTGGGCATTTCACACTCATCATTTGCTTTCATTTTTCAGTTTGTTCTCTCTCTCTTTTTTGGGGGGGGGTGCGGGGCTTGAACTCTGGGCCTGGGCGCTGTCCCTCAGCTCTTCAGCTCAAGGCGAGCACTCTACCACTTGAGCCACAGCGCCACTTCTCGTTTTCTGGTGGTTTATTGGAGATAGGAGTCTCACGGTCTTTCCTGCCCAGGCTGGCTTTGAACTGCGATCCTCAGATCTCAGCCTCCTGAGTAGCTAGGATTACAGGCGTGAGCCACCGGCGCCCGGCCAGTTTGTTCTCTTATGTCGTCTGTGTGTTTTTGTTTTTCTCCAATGATGTCCTACATTTGCTATATTCTATGACTTCCTCCAATAGCATGGGTTGGTGAAGCCAAAAGGTCCATAAAAAAAAAAAACTTGTTGGGCTGGGAAGGTGGCTCAGTGGTAGAGTGCTTGCCTTGCATGCCTGAGGCCCTGGGTTCCATTCCTCAGCACCACATGAGCAGGAAGGAAAAAAAAAAAAACAAGCCAGAAGTGGTGCTGTGGCTCAAGTGGTAGAGCGCTAGCCTTGAACTGAAGAGCTAAGGGACAGCGCCCAGGCCCAGAGTTCAGGCCCCATGCTAGACCCCCCCACAAAAAATTGTTCTTCTTTGGTTGAGATTTTAATTGCCCCGGTCATAATTCCCTCTAGCTCTCACCATTTCATGGTTTGTGCTACATCATAGAGCAGAGTGACCCTAAAATTTTAAATCATCTCACCTACCCTCCCTCCCTCCCCTACTCATACATGCAGTACGTGAAACACAAATATCGAGCACCATTGCCCCCAAAATACGCACTGGAGCTCCTGACCATCTACGCCTGGGAGACGGGGACAGGTGAAGGAGAGAATTTCAAGTTGGAAGAAGGGCTTATAGCTGTGATGAATCTCCTCAGAAATCATGAAAACATTTGCATCTACTGGACCAAATACTACGATTTCCAAAACGAGGTTGTTGGAAACGCCATCAAACAACAGTTGAAGAGTTCCAGGTAACTCTGGTGATTGTATCACCTTCAGCTTTAAGGAAAAGCTTTAAAAAATAATTTTTTTAAAAAGAAATATACTAGTTTCTTTGCAGCTGAAAAGTTCAATGATTAAAAACAGCTTCAGGTATGGCATGATCCAGCTCCGAGTCCCTTCCCATGAATTGTTCCCCTCTGCCCTCTCTAGGGCTTTACCATTACATTCAAGTTCACTCCTTCAAGCCTGTAAAATGGGAGGCAGTTCTAGACTTCTCATCTGGACACATACCTTCTGGTACAAGAAAGAGCAATCTGACCAAAATGTGAGATGCACTCTGGACAGACTTAGACAGGTTATGCCTTCCCTCCAGAACTAATATCACCATATCATATCACCATCAGTCAGTCCTTCCTACACAAAGGCATGCACAATCCCACATACATGAATGTCAGATGTCACTATTTCCTTTCTCTCTCCAGGCCCATTATCCTAGACCCAGCTGACCCCACCAATAACTTGGGAAGGAGACAAGGATGGGCCCAGGTGGCTGCAGAAGCTGATAACTGCCTACGGCAGGTCTGTTGCTTACAAAAAGTCCCCAGGCCCTGCTGGCAAGTACAGGTAAGACTCCATCCCATAATTAGGACTTAGTTCAGACCTCATACTAACCCTACATGAATTTTCCCCACAGCACCCGCTGAATTCCCAGGATAGGCAGCACATAGACATCCCAACAAACCACGTGACACCCCAACAAACCACGTGAGCAATTCTTCCCTCTGCTCCAAATGCCCAGGCCTTGGTGGTGTGTTTTGTTTTGTTTTGTTTTGTTTTGTTTGTCCATTGTGGGCACTGTCCCTCAGCTCTTTAGCTCAAGGCGAGCGCTCTACCACTTGAGCCACAGCGCCACTTCCGGTTTTCTGGTGGTTTATTGGAGATAAGAGGCTCACAGCCTTTCCTGCCCAGGCTGACTTTGAACCATGATCCTCAGATCTCAGCCTCCTGAGTAGCTAGGATTACAGGCGTGAGCCACAGGCACCCAGCTTGGTGCTGTTTTTTTTTTAATCTGTAAAATGGGAAGACAATCTTCCCTATTCTGTAGGCAATTCAGAAACATGATCTGAGAATTCCTCACATAAACCTATCCCGTGTTGCCTCTTTTGTGGTTAGAAAAGAAAATGCAGCTTCTTGTCTTCTCAACAAGAGATATAACAGATCTTTCCATGTGAGGATCACAGGCCTCCAAACCATCCCAGCTGCACAGGCTCCCTGGTACGGTTTTGCACACACACACACACACAGAGAGAAAGAGAGAGAGAGAGAGAGATAACTGCTGTCCTGGATCTGTGTTCAGAGGAATCCAGTGTATGTAGGAATTTAGTGTTCAGAATCCAGGGCTGAGCCTTCCAGCTCCCTGGCAGATTTTAATCTTCCCAACTTGCTACTTCGAGAGACTCTTGTCACTTGTCCCACAGCCCACAACCTCGTGGACAGCGAGGAAAGCAAGGCAGGTACCATGAGGGCCTCGCTCGGACCCATCAGCCAGCCAACCATAGGCAGAGAGTACAGCAGACCAGGAGGCTTCTGGGAGGGCAGCAAGAAATGATGTCCCTCCCATCACACCTCCTCAGTTCCCCAGAAATCCGCCCCCAGGCATCCACTTACCACCTCCTTCCCTGGATCCGCCAACCATCTGTGCCTGTGTCTGCATGTGTTTCCACTTAAAATGCAATGGGAAGTTGGGCACCATGGCTCCTAGCTCCTAGCTACTCAGGAGACTGAGATCTGAGGATCATGGTTCAAAGCCAGCCTGAGCAAACAAGCCCATGAGACTCTTATCTCCAGTTAACTACTAAAAAAGTCAGAAGGAGCCGGGCACTGGTAGCTGACGCCTGTAATCCTAGCTACTCAGGAGGCTGAGATCTGAGGATTGCAGTTCAAAGCCAGCCCAGGCAGGAAAGTCCATGAGACTCTTCTTTCCAATTAACCACCAGAAAACCAGAAGTGGCGCTGTGGCTCAAGTGGTAGAGCCCTTGCCTTGGGCTGAAGAGCTCAGGGACAGTGTCCAGGCCCAGAGTTCAAGCCCCACAACCACCACCAACAACAAAAAAGCCAGAAAGGAGAACTGTGACTTAAGTGGTAGAGCACTTGAACACAAAAGCCCAGGTCCTGAGTTCAAGCCCCAAGACCAGCACACCTAAAATAAATTAAGAAGAAGAAGAAAGGAAAGAAAGAAGGAATAAAGGAATGGAGGGAGGGAGAGAAGGAGGGAAGGACAGAGGGAGGGAGAAAAGACTTTTTTAACCACTACTCTGTAGACTTTTGCAATAACCATACACCCCAGAGCCTGACACAGATTTTTCCATTTGACCCCAAGCTCTAGTCTCTCAAATATCAGTACTGTAATGTGCCATCAGAGGTACTAATGTCATTACCACACGACAGGTGGAGACTTAGAACAGGTAGTTCCGCACAGGAGCATTATTTGGAGATCTATTACCAGTTGTTTCTCCAGCTTGAGTGAGTCCAGGAACAAAGTTTGATTCAGTGCTCAAAGCGCAGTGTATATCTAGGATAACCAAATAGCTTCCTCTGCTTAGGATAGCCTTCTGCCTTGTTGTCTGTTGTAATTATTAATAGCTCCTCCTTTTTTATCTTTTTGTTTTTTGTATTGCTGTTGGGACTTGAACTCAGGACTTGGACCCTGTCTTTTAGCTTTTTCACTCAAAGCCGGTGCTCTGCCCCTTGAGCCACACCTCTACGTTGGCTTTTTGCTGATTAATTGGAGATAGTCTCTCTGATTTATCTGCTGAGATTGGCTTTGAACTGCACTCCTCAGATCTCAGCCTGCTGAGTAGCCGGGATTACATACTTGAGCCACCAGCGTCCAGCTCAGTCCCTTCTTTTATTTTTTTTTTGACAGTGTCTCAGTAAGAAAATAAATTATATCACCAATAGGCAGAAAGGAGAGGCTTTGGAGAGAAGGGACCATAGACGGCCCTGACTCATCTGTTTCTCCCTCGCCTCCAGCCAGCAAGGGACATGCCGGTGATCGTGAAACAGAAAGACATGGAAGCACCCGGCGCCAGTGGCTCACGCCTGTAATCCTAGCTACCCAGGAGGCTGAGATCCGAGAATCGTGGTTCAAAGCCAGCCCAGGCAGGAAAGTCCTTGAGACTGAAGAATCCCAGCAGTCCTGCAGACCTGAATATCAAAGACTGTGACACCATCATTCTCATTAGGAGAAGCTGAACCTCCTCCTCCCTGCACGGGGTGCTCACATCTGGATGCTCAGGATGTAGCCTGCCCCTCCCCCACTCGATGATAACTGTATTCTCTCTAATAGTGAATATATCAGATACATTGTACATACGACTCTATCCCTCTCTTGCTTAGACTTCACCTGTGTCTCCCCCATCACCTAGAGAATGAAGTTCACATGGTTTTGCTTGGCATTCAGGGCCCTGGATAATTGAGCCTGAGACCTTGCCTGCCCCTCTAGCGTCTTTCATTGCTCAAAAGCACATCAAATATTCCCAGGTGCTTGCATTGCTGAATGCTGGGTCACAACTCCATTGTGCCCAGTCAACTGCCTTTTCCCCATCTCTTGTATTTTTATCTTTCAACATTCCAACTCTCAAGTGTTTCCATCTCCAATTGTGAATCTCAGATCAACAGAATCATGGTAACTTCTTAGACTGGCAAAATTTCAGCAAGCCGGGTGCTGGTGGCTCACTCCCGTCATCCTAGCTACTCAAGAGGCTAAGATCTGAGGATAGCAGTTTGAAGCCAGCCCAGTCAGAAAAGTCCCCATGAGACTCTTATCTCCCATCAAAAACCAGAAATGGCGCTGTGGCTCAAGTGGTAGAGTGCTAGTCTTGAGCACAGAGAGGCTCAGGGAAAGTGCCCAAGCCCTGAGTTCAAGCCCCACAACCAACAACAACAAAAAAAGTTTTGGCAATTCTCCCTGACTGACTCATGAAAATCCCTTTGTACAATATATGGGGGGAAAAAAAACTCTGAATGAGGTAACCGATGGCACCATACAAAAAGAAATGTACTAATTAATGATGCATGTAAGTGTAACCCCTCTGAATATCACCTCTATACTAACAAATTAATTTAAAAAAATTTAAAAAACTGTAAAGCCCTATGAAAATGAGCTGATATTAAAAAAAGGGGGTAACTCATGCCTGTAATCCCCAGCTACTCAGGAGTCTTAGATCTGAGGATCAAAGGTAGCCCTGGCAGGAAGTGTCTATGAGGCTTTTATATCCAATTAGTCATCAAAAAAGCCAGAAGTGGCTCCAATGGTAGTGCTAACCATGAGAAGAAGAAGAAGAAGAAGAAGAAGAAGAAGAAGAAGAAGAAG